TACCAGTAATATTACCTTCAAGGTTGGACATGCCCGGTACCTTAGGTCCAACGGGTATATAGCCCTAAAAAGTAATATGATCAGGACACACAACCTAATCTCCTCCAAATCCTTAAGATCCTGAATCCACACCATTGGCATTAATTTATCGGCGTCTACTGGCCAGGTATCGCACCAATATATCCTAGCACTGTCTTGGCTTTCGCCTCGCAGCCGTGTACCTACAGTAGCGCGAGTAGTGCGATGGGGCAGAGCTACTTCCAGCAATCAGATTACCCCAAATCCGCTTAGCAGCGTCCCCATCTGAATCAAACCCTCACCGGTGGGCCAGAGGAGCATCAGGGCCCACTAGATGATCGCCCTGCCAAATCGTTGCTTAGTATGTTGTACTTTACCACGTATACAATAGTACGCCCTAGTCTACCTTATGTGTTGTCCGAGGACTTTTCGCCGATCTCAGATCGTGAGGCATTTTCTGTCATTCTTTTCTAGCTCAATTTAGACACACCGACAAGGGTTTTATAATCTCGGGGTTTTATTTTAACAGAACAAAGAGTCCGCGGAAGTCTGACAATGTCAATTTGTCACTTCTCTCGTAAATGTGCTTGGTATTGCCTAATATATTGATCCCCCCAAACCTAACGTAACTGTTATTAGCTAAAGCCCAGTTCGCCAAGATATCCCAGCTTCACCCCAGAATTTTTCCCATGGAGAGATATAGAAGGAAAAACGCGGGTTCGGGAAATATACATATTTCCCCCGTGCACGGGGGGTGGCCTCACCCCAAGGCCTAGTTAGGTATGGTGCCATATGGTTCCCGCACCTGCAGGATAGCTTTAAGCCTTTTGAAACGAGAGATTTATTTTCGTGCACAAGTCTAGATGCACTATATATCCCTTTATATTGTCTCCAGGTACGAGTACGGAGCACTTTTTCCGGAAATTATTCTCTGTAACCTTTCAATTGAACCATTCAACCCTATAACCTCGGAAATGCCCCGCGTGTCTGTGCTTTCCAGACTACTGCCCGTTTAGGCTTGACTGGCCTGGGAAGGTCTACACCACCTTAGGCAGGTAAGTCCTCCCCCAAATATTGAGGCTTTCTCGTTCCACATTGGACTTGGAATTCCATCGGTCCCCTCTCGGTCTTGGCTTGTGTATCTGGCCATTCGCCGACGCAGATCGGGAATCCCGTGTCGAAACTCCGACGCGGCACGCGGGAACTCGGCACGTCAGTTTCAAGTTTTTTTTTCTATCAACCAGAGATGATTTTTCTATGGTTAGATATCATTTTGATTGCCAACTCTTTCTTGTTGATTTGTGGTTCACACTTTCGCTTCCTCATTTTGCCGAGACACCGGGTAAATTGTCTTTGTTCTTTGGGAAATGAATTCCTGTGCGCCACCAAGTAATAGCGGTAAATTTACGGATTCCAACCTAATCCTTATTCATTAAATTGTGTACACTGTTCACTTGATGCACATATGTCGAGATCGTATCACCTTTCTCTTGGCGGCATGCAAACCCTGTGTCGATCAGAGTAATCACCCAAATACGCACAGTCCGCTGAGAAAAGCGAAAATAAACGAACAATGGTCATCCGCGACTCTAGCTTAGCTTCGGAGATTAACACTTCGAAATAACAGCAAATCTAAATCTTGTGAGATTGACCCGTGGAGCTTACACGGAGAAATATACTATACCGGGTAGCTCGTGTGATAAATCATTATGTCTAAGCTCTTTCAGGATAGCAATGATGACATACAGGATAGCTTGCACACGATACCTAAAAAAGCAACACCCAAACCTGCATTAGACGACTTACGCGACCTCGAATAATAATCTACTCCCGTAGAGACCAGATCACCACATGCTTTAGCCTTCCCATTTCGGTCGGGATCGACAGGAGAACAAACACCCCACACTCCCCGACGCGAACCTCACAACTGGCAAGTGGTATTTTGGGGATGCAAAGGGATATTTTCAGCCCTTGCTACTGGTTCTCGTATAGGGGACTTGCACATCACTATTTACTGGGATTAGTGCGACTGGGGAGTCCGGTGTCGGGAAGGGTTTTGTGCTATCTACTCCATACTCCATATATTAGATGGGGAAATAACAAATCAGTGACATGTCGTCACTTTGTTCCCCTTTTTGTGACGCAAGGAAAGTATGCACGTACATAACAGACCTACATATGTAACAATTACCCTCTTTAGTATGGGTAATACACCCTATAGTTGAATAGTGTGTTGTGTGAAAGACGTTATGGGTAGGTATCCCGAACTACCCTGTGCGTGAAAACCGTTGGGTCTTCAATGCACACGCTCCTATTTCCCCGTGCAGCCAACGATGTATGGAGTACTCAATTAGATGTATCGATGTTCCTCTTGGCTGTCTTTTATCGATACAATATTGAAACATAGAGCAGGCTGCTTCTAGATTGTACAGACTGGAGTAAACGTCACAGTATTGTGTCTCGGACTGGCTGTCACTCGGGCACCAGCGATCGGCGGTGTTCACGCTACCCGCTTGATCCTGATTTTCTCCAGGATCGGAGGCAATGACGATGAGTGTGACGAACTACTGAATGCAGTACTTCGTATAGCAATTGCTAGTTGCTTCCTGTTACTATTGTTAGAAGGGAAATTCGAGACTGCCTGTTAGGCTACGAGATAATCTCTTTAGTATGCGCCTTCGTGCGTCGACAGATCTGCATAGCCACCGTTAAAGTCCCCGATCATCCAGTAGCGGTTATCAATCTCTCCCGGTACCTGTTGCAAATCTCGCAGAGCGAAGTCGAGGCCGCATAATACAGCTCAAACACTGTTTCAATGTGGCTTTGTTGCTGTGTTCCAGGTCTTACAGGTACTGTATACATTGGGTACTGTGAGCTTATCCTGGGATACCTTGTCCGGGCATGCCAAGGAAGACAGGGATAGATTCGTGGGGGATACTGGGGGATCGCCATGCTGCCTGGCGTGCATGTTATTGTCTATAGATAGCATTCGTCGCGGTGAGTGGTCGAATACTGGAGTGGTCCTGCCAATGGGCACCAATGTGGAATTAAACTCCATGATCGACGATAGACAGGTAGAAGCCAAGATCCAACAATAGAAGGGGAGAGCAATTATGCTCCAGTTTCACTACTCAGTTTCACTAGAGCTTCTTGGCTAAGCAGTACGATTACTGGGCATTGCCCATTTATGAGAAGCTGAGGTCACAACGGGGTGTATGATCGACTGCATCCTTGTTCTCATTGTCTTGGACTATCGATAGTCCGCTGTAAATCGGATGTCTGGATGACCTGCATACTCAAATACCGATTTACCCCATAATGGAAGGGTATACTTCGCATGAAGTACTCCGATAGTACACATCACACCTGGGCATATATTCAGATAACACAAAATGAAGGTAGACTAGCGACCAGGAACCATCGACAAGTCTCAAAATCAATGCGCGCAACTCATCCCGATTGCATCTCATCCCTGTTTCTTCGAATCCTTGGCGCCGAGCCCCAAAAAACGAAAACAGACGCTATTCAAAGATATCCTTGGCATGTGCCTCCAATATGATATGATGCGATAAAGTCATTCAATGATGTCAAGTATATATTTTGTTTATCGCACAATGCTAGGAATCAACTCTCCCTTGATCTGCTGATCGCCCTCATCTTGCACCTGTCCACCGACGCCAAGCCACGCCGTGCATCCCTTCCTCCCGCATTATCGTCTTGGCGAGCATTTGGCCTCTGACCAGCCCCTTTTTTTCTGTCAGGTCGGCGTGAGATGCATTCGGGCTTCGGTGATGGGGCGGAGTGGAGAGGAGAGGGAGTCGATAGCGAGTGTTGCTAATGCTTGTTGCGTTTGCGTCTTGGCGGGGGCAGTGTGCATGCTTGTACTCCTCCATAATCCACAGTATGTAGCAATGGGGAATCTAGGGACGTGCTTCTTATCGGGGTCGCCTGTGAGGGGATCGTGGCGCTGTCAGGGGCGCATTTAGATTTGTTCAGGTCGATTATGCCAATGCTTGGGCTTACAGGCTTACTCTGCCGCTGAGGGATTTTATTCGGCCAAGACGGCAACTGACTGTTGGTCTAGATAACTGTATGCTGTATCTTGAAGGTTCGGTAGATATTTACTACCAAGACATCTTGGCTGTAGGACAATGCACGGAGAGAGGCCCGTGGAGGACTAGTCCAGCTGACCCCGGCCGGGCGTCCGTAGGTGTAGTTGTAGTTGCGGCCCTGGGGTTACACTGTATACTATCTGTATCTTATGGATGATGAGGTGCTTTGTGGCTTATCTGGATGTGGGTATGGAACTACACGTGCATGAGAATGTGAGTTGAATGTAGGTTGGTAAGATCTGATCAAGATTTGATGTAGTGGATAGAATTTGTATCTATATTGTATATGTTGTAGTTAATAGAACATATATATTGAAGGTTTTCAGCAGATTCGAGGTATTATAGATCAATTGAAGCAAAGTTAAACATTCGAGTCCAATTAAATCAAAATTGTTGGTATCCAATTGCTGTTGGATACAAATATATATCGACTACTGATTTCATGCGGATCCAAATTTCTTGGTATCTAATTTGATTGAGAATCTGCAGTAGAAGTTGAAATGCTTTTTTGATATATATCCCTCAAAACTACCATAGAAGCTGGCGCTACAGCCAAGCTCACAGGCATCAGTGCCTAGGCTGCTTGACTGCATGTGTTTCAGTATCATTATTATTAGCATTGCCACGCTTACTACTCCGTACCTATCATAAGTCTAAAAACAGTCTGCATTCCCCCGATCGCAACAAAATGCAGCAAGGAGATAGAGTAGCGCCAGGATTTGGAATCCGAACAAAACAAGTTATGCCGAGGCAATGGCGAGATAGCCCCTTGATGAGCCTCGTTGCTCCGAGCAACACATGCCATGCGGTTTCAAGACCCTGCGTCCACACCGAGTATCAATGTTTCAGATAAAGTCAATATAGCAAAAATTAGAATGTGATTCTTGATCCTACGGTGCAGGGTACCAATGACCCAGGCATGTGTTTCTCAATCGCAAACTTGGCCCGCCAGCCCGAACAGTGACCTGGCATAAGCACGGCGGGATCGAGTCGTTTGAGATCGGCTACTGTGTTTTGGATTTGATCCGCGTCGCTTGTGGCGAGATGAAATCCACCGACAACGGCATGGACAGGGACCGTTCCACCGGTGAGCTGGACGGCATGTTTGGTGGTGTTGACTACACCAGCGTGACTACATCCAGTGAAGACAACAAGTCCCTTTCCTGAAGGACATATTAGCTCAATAAGCTTGTTGGCGGGGTTTAGGATGAATATACCCTTGAGGTTGCAGATGAGAGAACGCTCATCAATGATGGTTTCGTCGGAGAACCAGTCATTCTCATCAGGGTCATATCGCACTGCATTCTTCAGGCCGGTCTCGTATGGCGTCACTCGTGGAATCTCCCCAGAGATAAGAAAGAAGTCATCAAGTACGGTGTGTGGCTCGCTCCGCTTGTCGACCACCGCACCAGCACTGCCAATCTCTTCAAAGGTAGGGTCAGCCTCGAGGGAAATTATATGCTCGGGCAGGGCAATGCCTCTGTAGACCGGTCGGTCCGGGTGCAAGTCTGCAACCAGGTCTTCGGAGCGGCTCTCGGCTCGTTTGGCATCGTTTACCATGCGGATTGCTCGCAGAAGACCACCTACGCGAAGGTCAGAATAGTCGGAGAGAATATGTGTGACTGTATCCGTTTTCGTTTAGAATTACGAACCGGAGTGATCTCGATGCCAATGCGACAGATGAATTACTTCCACGGAGGAAAGATTTGGTCGCAGCCGTTTCACATTTCTTTCCCAAGCCTCCTCTTCAGGACCAGCATCGAAGAGAATAGCGTGCTTCTTGTCGCCTTTAGTGGCAGTCTATATATAATCGGCTTAATAATCACATTCACGAGTTCAATGGTAGAACATCGCCTTACCACCAGTATTGACAAGCCATGTGCTGCGCAGCAAACATCTTCCAGCCTTAATTCCTTGCAGGCTTCCCCGCGGTCTGTCAGTGTATGATTTGAGCCCATGGCAATTGCCCCCAGATTCCCTGAGATTTGGACGGTATCCGGGGCTGGGGGCGAGAGCGGATCTAGCTCATTGTCGATGATAACAATGGCTTCGAGGGAGTCTACCTCTCCGAGGTTTATGGACGTCTCCATAGAGTCACTATATCTACAATTAGAGGCTTTTAGGACCAGGGAAGAGGAATATAAGAGATACCTGAAAGGATCCATTTGATATATAGCCCTGAACATCCGCGAATATCAAAGAAGTGAAGTTCCGAGTTCTCCACAAATGCGGGGGGGAATCTTCACTTCTGACCAAAACACATCTCAACCTGCTCTTCCTCATCTTCTCTAGAGGGAATTCCTCTCTATTTCATACAATGCGTCTATTTCTAGACCGCCTCTTCCTAGTTCTCCTGTTCCTCTCGCCCGTCACAGCCATCGGCACATCATGCTTCAAAGTCGTCTCCGCACTGGTTAGCCGACCAGGTCACCTCTTCGATAAATTCCAAAGTGAAATCTGCGACGTTGGATGCCAGCCGATCGTCCCTCACTGGGATCTATGGACGCGCAACAACACCTTCGTCCCCGCCGTTCGCAGTCTGATGCAGCGCATGAATGTACCCCACAAGGAAGACGATCTGCTGAAGATGGGCGATGATGTTGCGCTCAAGATCAAGGAAAGCTGTGGACCAATGCTAGGTGGTGGAGTACATATCTGCTCTGATTCGGAGACTCTGGCTGGGTTTGGCAACTGCTTCAAGCGCAATTTTCTCATGGCTTCGATCAAGCATCTTCCCACCTTGATCCCAATGGCTTCGGAGGAATCGTGCAAGGAGCAACTTAGGTTCTTGGAGAGTGATGAGCTGTGGGATATTACGATTCCTCAGAATATGAGGGATTATGCGAAAGTGTGTGACACTTTGGGGTTTAATGACCATGATGAATTATGATTTATGTCTGGACCCAAATGTAAATAGTGTAGATAGTGTAAATAGTTCTGTACATGTAATTAATTTCACATATACTGATTTCACTCTACATCCATATTATTATAATGTAGGCCGCTGAATTCCTCCGAGTCCGACTCCGCGCGGAGCTACCGCGGATGACGACAAGCGGAACTTCCCCGGGGTTTGACACTTCTCACTTAACACTTCTCACTTCTCACTATTTTATCTCCTCAGATCAGACTGGACTTGATTCCCGCCATGCAGTAATTCGGCATCCGCCTCTCCGTTTCATATGGCGCACGCGACGTTTCTCCGCTCTCTGCGGCCTACCGTCCGTCCAATCTGGCGCCCGCATCGATACGCTCACTCAAGCCAATTCCAACCCTTTGTGCCACCGTCACCAAGTTCCCTAGGGAAGCCCACAGAAGCAAAGACCTACAAACGAACCATCAAATGGTTTCGCCGAATCATCTACATCTCACTAGCAACAGGTGTCGCCTATGGCATCGACAGCCAGTTCTACGCCTCATCCCTGACCCGAACAGCTCGGACCTTTTCCCTCGGTCTCTTCGTCGCCCTCGATTACAAAATCAACTTTCGTCCACATCCACCACTGGCCAGCTCTATTGCTGCCGTGCACGCCCGCAACGCAGAGCGCTTGTCGGATCTGCTGAGGCATAATGGCGGTCTCTACCTGAAGATGGGTCAGGCGATTGCCATGCAATCCGCCATCTTGCCCCCTGAGTTCCAGCAGATGTTCTCCCGCATGTTTGACGATGCCCCTCAGAATGACTGGAAGGATATCGAGAAGGTCATCCGTGAGGATTTTGGAAAGTCGCCTGAGGAGGTATTCGGTATCTCGTTTACGGGTGAACCTGGCAAGGGCACGATGGAGCGCAGAGCCCGAGCCAGCGCCAGTGTTGCCCAGGTTCACTGGGCTCGTCTGCAGGATGGCAGGGAGGTCGCGATCAAGATCCAAAAGCGGGAGATCGTGCAGCAATTAGCATGGGATCTCTGGGCTTTCAAGTGAGTTGTTCGAGCTCGAGCCGAGGGATGTTATGCTAATATTGAAATCAATAGAGTCGTGACCTTTATCTACAGCAAGGTGTTCGACATCCCTTTCTACAGTCTCGTTCCCTATATCAGTGAGAGACTATCGCTCGAAACAGACTTCGTAAATGAAGCAGATAACTCGGAAAATATGGCCAAGCTAGTGGCCGCTGAACCTCGCCTGCGCGATCGCGTGTATATTCCTCGTGTATACCGCGAACTAAGCTCAAAGCGCGTCATGACTGCCGAATGGGTAGAAGGCGTACGACTCTGGGATAAAGATGCCATCACGCGGCCCTGGCGCGGCGGCTGGGGCCAGGGAAGCCCAGGCTGTCACGGTACACCGCTTGACCAACCGGAGGGGAATGCTGAAGCTCGAAACCTGCGCACATCGAGGAGCAAGCCAGATCGGGATTACTGGCGAGGCCGCAACAACCGCGGCGGACTGGGCCTGTCACTTAAGGACGTGATGACAACCATGGTAGACCTGTTCTCTGCCCAAATGTTCCTGTGGGGATACGTCCACTGCGACCCGCACCCTGGCAACATCTTCATCCGCCGCAAGCCAGACGGACGACCAGAGCTGGTTCTGATCGACCACGGCCTGTACATCCACATGGAACCCGGATTCCGACACCAATACGCCCGGTTCTGGAAAGCCCTCCTCACCTTCGACAATCGCACGCTGGGCGAGATTGTCAAGGGCTGGGGCGTGAACAACCCAGATTTCTTCGCGTCAGCAACATTAATGCGCCCCTACAGTGGCGGAGACATGTCCACGCAGCGTGGTCTCCAGGGGCTAAGCAAGTCAGAGCGTGCAGAGCGGTCCTTCGAGATGCAGCAGAAGGTGCGCAAGGCGATTCGCGATATGCTGGGCGATGAAACCAAATGGCCACAGGAGCTGATTTTCATCGGTCGCAACCTGCGCATCGTCCAAGGAAATAACCAGTTCCTGGGCTCGCCAGTGAACCGCGTCAAAATCACTGGTATCTGGGCTTCGCGTGCGCTTATCGAGTCGCCGGATCTGCCGCTGGTCGAGAAGATCCGGAACATCGGTCGCCATTTGGTCTTCCGTATGGTGCTGTTTAGTACTGATATCTTCTTCTATTTCACCAAGGTGCGCCAGTTCTTACATCTGGGTGGTGGCATGGAGGATGATATCGAGGCCCAGATGCAGAATATGGCCAAGGATATGGGGGTTGAGCTTAACCACAGCGTGTTTGAGGGATAGACTTTCCCCGGTCTTATAGAATAATGTGGTGAGAACGGCAGTTGGTTTAGAATATGTGCATTATACCATCTGAACCTATCTAGAAAAATCTCCCGAATAATGACACTCTCCTTATGATCGGCGTTACTTCCAGTGTGTATCTTGGCTGTTGGCTGATATATATATCTTCCTACTTCGTCCCCTCCACATCAAAATCCACATAAATCCCTTCACCACCACTCTTAGATTCCATTAAATCCCCCAATCTCCCAAGCCTAGCAAGATAAGCAGCCCCCGTATCCGCCCAAACATGATACTCGCAAACCGCCAACCTCCCCTCCACAGACCCACTATCAACAGCAAGCTTCATGCGATACACGAACGTCTCATCCCACGCCTGTCGCGTCTCCTTCCACCCGAACGTCGCCGTCCCACGCAGAGAAACAGCCATGCAACTCTCATCAACTACCCAGCTCTCCTCGGGCTCGAAGACCATGTTCTTGATTGAGAGGAGGGAGGTGATGAGCTCGAAGTAAGTTGCTACCCCATCTTGGCCGGTGAATGGACGGCCTAAGAAGGGAGCTAGTTGTGGGAGACCGTGTTCTTGGGCTAGTGGTTTTGGAGATGTTGTGAAGGTTGAGAGGAGTTTGTTGGGGTTTGTTGGGTCTGGGTTTGTTAGGGCTTCTAGGAGGGATTGGATTGGTTTTAGGAGGTCTGGGCGTGAGATCATTTTGGAATACTTTTGGGAGAGATGTAAATGTGGTATTCGGAGGGAGATTGGATCTATGGACTCGGGTTTGATATCCTCCAGGCGGTGGACGTCGGGAGCGTACGTACTGACATAAATATGACGTTGATGTTTGTTGATATCTACTATTAATGTAGTAGTATCAAAACAACCTATAGCTGTTGGAATCAACTATTGGGATAGTTGGGATATTGGGATTGGGATATCTGGATGTTGGTAGATAGTTCACTGTTTCCCATCCATTTGCCCAGAGCTTCAAGAGAAACAGATGTAGAAGACATAAATCAAAGGCCCACTGTAGAACTCCCGCAGCTTTCATAGCTGAGCTTGATAGAAAGAAAGAAAACATATAGAAAAAAAGGAAAAGAAAGAAACACCGAGTCCCAAAAAATAATACATTTCCGCTCCCGCAGCTATCGGATGTCCGAGTTCACTGTCGCCAGGACTTGCCGCAGTTCAGACACGTGCAGAACAGTGTCATCGGTTCATCAGCCGCACGAGTCTGAGCCTCGGTGTAGGTAACCTTGCGCTGACCGCACTTGCCGCACTGCAAACTCTTACTGATACTGCGTTCTTGCTGGGCAACCATAGCCTTGTCCATATTCTCCTTCTGAATCTTGGCATCCGCCTCACGCTGCTCAACAGAGCGCAGCTCGTCATGGCTCATGCGCACAAATTGCTCAGAGGTAATTTCTCCCTCGACAACGCGCACACGCAACTTCGGGTTGGACTTGTTCTTCAGATTCTGGAAAAGACTGCGGATCTTCGTGCGGTATTCCTCCTTTGTCTCCGGTCCCAGGTACTTGTATGCGGAAATCTCCACTGCAATGGCGCGCGATAGAACGGCCTTCACAGACTCAGTCGATCCAACACACAGTCCATCGTACATCAGTCCCGTGCAGCTGTCACGCACTCGGTTCCCGGTGTGATTGATCTCCGCTCCGTCTGCCTTCCAGGTGCGCTTATCTGGAGGCACGGACAGCTTCGACGCCTTGTCTGAAGGTGTAGCAGCGGCTGGGGTGGACGCTCCTGTACCGTTTTGCGCTGGTCGCGGAGAACCGCTCGAGCCTCGACTGGCTGCTGTACCACCGCCCTGCTTCTGTTTGTTCACCTCGGTCCGCCACTTGGAGACGATCTCGCTGGAGAGCCGCGCGACTTCAGGGGTCTTGCTTTGCTTGAACTTGTTGACGATGATTCCGATGCGCGTCTGTCGGAGGAGGTCTTCGGTTGCCCGGACTCCGGTTTGGATATCCTTCAGAAGGCCCAGAATCACAACGGAAGACTCGTTCGATGTCGCAGCCTTGCCCAAGGCCTTGGCCTTAGCCTCGATCTCTTTGGCGTCCATCGCTATGTTGTGCGGGGTAGAGGGATAATTCGATCGGAGTGCTTGACAGAGTCAATGGAGGCCCGGCTGGGAAAGTTCCACGCGACCTATAAGCGACAACTGTTAGTATGTCATTGCAAAAGCTTGGAGCGCAGGGTCTTTATAAGCCCCCGGAAGCCGGCGCATTCTGCAGAACCACGGCGAGCACGTTTGTCCTTTTGGAATCACAGATCATGGAGCCACAGATACCTGCAACAAGCGTCACACGAAACATGGCTCTTGAAATACCCCGCCATAGAGACTCATGCGGGCGAGCGTGGTACGCTGTTAATTTGCACGTGTCCACCTGTTCCCTCATTTGCTCTCGGAAACTTGACAAAAACAAACAGAGAAGCTCGGAAACAATGGAATAAGAGGTCTTATACATATTGCGCCAGAAATAGCAATAGGTAATTGCGCAAAAATAGGATGTAGTGAGGGGTGTTTTGTGCGGGCACTCACTTGGAGATATTTCACGGTCGCGTTAACGGTATAGTGTTGGGAACTTGGAACTGTAGTGATAACAAAGAGCGGAAAGGCGACGGCAATGGAAGCGCCAGAAGAGACAGGTATGGTAGATGGGATATGTCAAAGCCGACGAGGTAAGTGGAATTTGATGAGCTGCGATG